CCCCCCCCCAATCTGCCTCTCCCAAAGCACCCGATCAAACCTCCCCTCCCACAATGCCCGCGCATCACCAGCATACATAAACACCTTCCCGCCTACTTCCTTCGGCTCCTCCGCACCATCCCGAAAGAATATCCAACAAGAAGCAACTCTATACGCCCTCGTCTCATACTCTGCCAGTTTTTCCGCCTCCTCCTCGGACTTTACAAGGTACGCATACCCCGAAACAACTTGGTCCTGTTTCCCATTGATCAAGGCGGGGTAGTCGCCGCCCCATTTGGCGATGTCGTAGCCGATTAATTCGGGTTTGCGGAGGTCTGGTTCTTCTAGTAGGTCGAGGATATGTTTTAGTTGGGGTGGGTGAGTTAGGGTTCCGTAGGAGAAGTAGTAGATTGGATATGAGGGTGGATATTCGTGTTCGTGTGGCTGTTCGCGTTGTAGGAGGTAGTCTGGTGGTGCAGATTGGAGCATTGTGTAAAATGGGGAGGTTGGGGATTCTTTTGCTGGGAAGAGGCTGGGGAGTTGTTGTTTTGTGTGATTCTCTGGCTTGTGGGACATTTTTGCTAGAAGTTGAGGTGGGTATTCTGTGGAAGGATGAGGAATTATGAGGTGTGATAGAGAATGTCTGTGAGTGACCAGTGTTAGATAGGAGGCAATAATGTAGGTGCCTAGTGGGTTGCCGAGTCGATATACAGGCGGTGCCAACTTGGAACAAACGGTTGGAGGTTTGATAGAAGGTTATTTTAGGCAGGGGGCCAGCTCCTCAGGAGACGAGACTAGAAGAAGTGCTAGTAAGAATGATGTTGGGGGAATAAAGTGTTCAAGGCGCGACCTTGTCAATGGCATTTTGGTCGAGTGGGATTAACAAATGATACTTAGCACAGATACACAATAACAACAACAACAAAGAACCCCTCTTGTTCGTAGTGTTCCTTATTAGTGAAATTATTTTGCTGAACGCATCTCCTTATCTCCACTATATCTACTTAGGAAGTTTCGCCAAAGCGGTCCTCAAGCTGGACGCGATTTGTATCACTTTATTAATTCATGTTCATCCCTATGCCTCTACATATATTCATCTACTTAACCCTAACAACAACCTTCCCAAAATGGCTCCCACTAGCCAAAAACTTAAATGCCTCGTTGGCCTCCTCAAATGAAAACACCTTGTTAACGACAGGTTGAATCTGATGTTTCTCATAGAACCTCACCGCTTCCTCGAATCGATCCTTAGGTCCATTGATGATCCCCTTCAGCGTGACATTCCTCCGCAGCGCTAGCAGGTTCACGTTCGTTCGGTCATCCGGCGCGTCCATCTTGCCGGATACATACCCGATGCAGTTAATCAACCCACCAAAGGCGATGGAGTCAAAGCTCTTCTTCAGAGTCTGGGCGCCACCAACCTCCAGGATGATGTCGGCGCCGTGGTTGTTGGTGAGGCGCATCACTTCTTCTTCCCAGTTGGGATGGGTGCGGTAGTTGATTGTGTAGTCGGCGCCGAGTTCCTTGGCTTGGGAGAGCTTGGAGTCGGAGGAGGAGGTGATAATTACTGGGCTGATGTTAAGCCAGGGATTTTCACAAATAAAACAAAAAGGGTAAGAGCAGCCAGGTCAGCAAACGCACCCTTGGCACCGGAAGCCTTTCCGATTTGCAGCCCGGCAATGGCGACACCGCCGGTTCCCTGCAGCAGGATATATTCTCCGTGTCCTCCGTTCTGTCCCATAGGTCGCATGCCATTGACAGACATCCATGCCGTCACGACCGCAATAGGAAGCGTGGCGGCCTGCTCATCGCTCATGTAGCTTGGCGCTTTGACCAGCGCATGTTCCGGGAATACTCGGTACTCGGCCAAGACCCCATCGAGGGGCAGACCCATCCCCCGCGACAGTTCCTTTTCCGTAACTTGACCGGTCTGGTGGTCAGGGAGGAATGTAGAGAGAACGCGATCGCCGACTTGCCAACTGCGGACGTCGTCGCCGACCTGCGTGATGACGCCGCACATGTCGGAGCATGGCACAATGCTCTCTTCTTGTCCCACGGACTTGTGATGGGTGTACTCGCCATTAGTTACTGAGTCATAGTGTTAGCTCTGGTTTTGAAGCTCCGGCAAGGGATGCGCTAACCGTACCCTCTACGTCGCGGTAATTCAGTGACACGGCATGGATCTCGACGAGGACTTCGCCCTTGCCTGGAGCGGGCTTGGGGGCTTCGGTGAGTTTTAGGGAATCCACTCCCTTCAAGGGAGTCGTCCACTGCTTGATGGATGCCATCGCGGGGTTTATTGGCTGCAAAAATTTCGCAGTTGAAGGGAAATTTCAACTTCAATCTTGGGGAGAGAAGCTTGGAGAATCTCTTTGGAGAAATTCTTTGGAGACGATTAATAATGGTCCCAACGTCACCGTGGGGTGGGTTGCCCCACTGCGCAGAATGCCGAGATCCATCGCGAGTGATTCGTCGTATGGGATAGCATTTTGGAGAAGACATGCCGGCCGCGTGAGAGATTATGGTTGGTCGAGTCTGTCACGTTCGACACGATCATGTGCGGTTGTTTATCTCAGTAGGGCAAAGGGCAATGATGTCGTATTAGTTGATCCCTTCCCAAGGCAATGAATAATAACTAATATATCGCGCATGTTTAGAAGATATAAAGTGCTATGTTGATCTCTGTTAGCTACATTCAAATCAACATCCCAAAATAATGCCGTGTAGAGATGTAACATACCAATTTACGTCAGTTGGTGTTTCACAACTTCGAAAGGACATTTAGCTAAACCCCCTCAATGTCCTTCAGCGAAGGTTTTGATCCTCCTCATAATTGCGAATTGGGACCTCAAGGAAGTCCTCCTCTTGGGGCAACTCAACCCCGTACTCCTTCAAAACTCCCGCAGAGAGCTTCACGTCCCAGGCCTCGAACCCCGTAACGTGTCCTCCGGCGGTGCGATCGTCAGAGATGAAATGTAAATGAAATCCCGCGATGCTGAAGCCATTGCTACACCCAGGTGACCAGAATCCAAAGAGAAGGCCCCGAACATTATGGGCAGATTGTAGTTGCTGGCGCCTCGACAAGTCAAATAGCGGCTGCTGTTCTCTGGGCGGCGCAGGAATCACTCGGAAGGCCACCTGATTGAACACACCGTCCACGCGGACCGAGAGAAAAGAATTCTGTTTTGAGGGAAGAAGAGGGGCAAGTGCCGTGTGTAAGGTTGGCATTGCCAGAGAGGGGAGGCTTTTGGTCAGGGTTGGTTTAAAGTGGGCGATCATGATGGACAGGCAGGTATCCAATTTGCGTTCACGTTGCGCGATCGATTTCCCAGAGTCAAGTGATATATACTTCAACATCGATCATGGCCTTCCTCTATTTAAATGAGTGAGTAACAGCTCCAAGGCCATGGTCACCATGCGCGAGTACCTGGCGAGTAGTTGGTCCGGTATCACGTCAAAACCTGCATCAGAACACTCATGGCCAAGAAATTGATAGGAATCGAGGTTAATGCACCCAGCAAGGGATAGCGGTGAAGAGTCGTCCCTATTTTTTCCGGTTATACTACTAAGAAGCATTAAGATACTGTGTCAAGCTGAAAGTCTGCATGGTGGCAAAGCCATGTTAACCGATTTGGTAAGACTCTTGAGATACCGCCCGAGAGGCTGTTACCCGTTTGGGGAATGAGCTTCACTACTTGATCTCCGCCAAGTGGAGCCCGTCTTTTAGGCCCGCCCCCTTGGTTCTAGTCTTATATCTTCTTTATTCTCGGGCATGCCGCCCACTGTAGGGCGTAGACCACTGTCTTTGTACAGTAGTTCCCCAATAAAGCGCCGGAGGAGTCAGGCAGCCCTGCCCATGTCCCACCATATAAGCAGGCCGGGTGACCCTTGCACTTCCCCCTGTCCTGTCCTATTCTCTGTACACCATTTCATTCTACGTAATGAACTATTATTCCTTATGAGATGGAGGGACTTCTAGGATTTACGGGCGGAGAGATCCTCCACCGACGTCTCATCAGCCACGGTGTGGACCACATCTGTAAGTGACCACCTGTTTAGGACATATGGGCTCCCCGTCTAATTCGTGCCTTAGTTGCACATCCAATGGCAGGGACACTCGCATTGTTCCGGGATGTTTACAATTCTCCTGTTATTCGCTTCATTCCCTCGCGTCATGAACGAGGTGCCGGCCACATGGCTGAGGGCTACGCCAAGGCAACTCGAAGACCGGGTGTAGTCTTTGTGAGCACCGACCCCAGTAGCTCCAACGTAATCAGTCCAATGCTGGATGGCCTTCTGGATGGGACACCTATGGTGGTGATCTGTGGCCAGGTCCCTGCCGCTCAAGAAAACAACGCCCTCCAGCAGGGAAACCCCATGGAACGGCTCGGGGCATGTATGAAATGGCGTGCACGTGTGCAGCGACTCAGCGATTTGCCTAGTGCGATTGATGCGGTATTTCTTCATGCCACCGGCAAACAGCCAGGGCCGACCCTCTTAGACATCTCTTCTGGAATCGGGGAAGCGGTCTTTGACTCGCAAGCCCTGGAGGAGGTACCGAACGTGTCGCTGATGATCGAGAATGTGCATGGGAAAGCTTGCAGCGTTGCCTCGCCAATAGCCGACGCTCACTATCTGTATGAGAGAATTGTCCAGGTGGCCGACATGATTAACCAGTCCAGGCATCCGGTGATCTGTGCAGGAAACGGGGTCCTCGCGTCGCCACGCGGGTGTAAGCTGTTGTCCAGGATAGCTAATAAAGCTCAGATCCCGGTTGCGACCACACTGCTCGGTCTGGGTTCCTTCGATGAAACCCGCGAAGAGGCCTTGCATATGATCGGTACACATGGCGCTCCGTATGCCAATTGCGCGATCCAGAATGCCGACTTACTTATCGTGATCGGAGCCAGACTGGATGAACGCGCAGTGGGGAATGCAGATGGGTTTGCGCCTAAAGCCCTCGATAGGGATGGCGGAGGGAGAGGCATTGTACACTTCGACATCGATGCACGTAAACTTGGGAAAGTCATCGAACCTACAGAGATCATTCTCGGCGACCTATCAGAGACCTTACCCGTTTTACTATCCCTCTTACTTCCCGTGAAAGATCGAGTTCAATGGTTGGACCAGATCCAGCTTTGGAAAAGGCTGTATACCTTGGAAGAGCCGGTAAGAAGGGCAAAACATCGCCCGTCCCCCCAACAGGTTGTGGCCGAGCTCAACCGCCAAACGACTCCCATGAAGAGCAGTATCACCATGACCACCAGCGTTGGTCAGAATCAGATGTGGACGTCCCAACATTTCCGGTGTACACATCCACATTCTCTGATCACTTCTGGCAGCCTGACCACGATGGGATTTGGCGTACCGGCTGCCATTGGGGCCAAGCTAGCCCTCCCCAATCAACAAGTCATTGCCGTGGACGGCGATGCCTCCTTTTGCACCACGATGGAAGAGCTCATGACCGCGTTGCTACATCAAGTACAGATCAAGGTGATTGTGTTTAACAATCGGCAGCAAGTCATTCTGTCTCAATTGCAGAGGGAGTACGGCATGAAAGTTTGCTGTGATTCCCGAATGAGTCCCGACTTCGATCGCTTGGCCAGGAGCATGGGCTGCCAAGGCCAACGATGCGATCGGGTGGAAGAACTGCCAGACGCTATCTACTGGTTGTTACGCTGTCGAGGGCCAGCATTGCTGGATGTGGCCGTAAGTCAGCCTGGAATGGTTTCTATCGCATCCAATGGGACGTCGATGGACACCTTGGTATGGGCGTGATTCTGCGAATTATCACCATGTTTAATATTGTTAGTCCATTGGATACGTTGAATATCCACAAATATAATTTCTTTTTTGACCCATTTGGCCGATGTGCATCACGTCAAGGTAGCACATGCCCTCGTCCTCGTACAAGCCAAGTATACGTCTAGACTCATGCATGTAAGAAATTTGTCACTCTTGCTGTGCTCCCACTTCCACCGGTAACCCAACACAGAAGTTCCTAAATCTGTTAAAGTTAACAGGACTGGTCACAACCCAGTCTTATGTATGGCAGATGACCTAGAGCAAACAGTAGCTGATTTTCCGTAGGGGTTACTTACCAATTGAAGTAGGACGCGGGTCAGAATAGAAGATGGAAATCGGTGGATACCCGAGGATAAACATTTTCGGAAGGAGTCTTTAATTAAAAATCGACAGGTCACATCAAGAGGCTTGCCTCACATGTCATCGAATCTCACTCCTGCCAGAAGCAATGAGATACATAATCTTGACGTGGTTCTCAAGCAAACCGTAGTTCGTATCATACCGAGCGGTGCCACGGTAACATTCCGCACTGACCATCGTGCCAATGTCGACCCGAGACAAGCAATATTAGTAAATAATACGACTCGGTGAGTCGATGGTGGATGAATAGTCCACATTCTCCAGATTCTGCAGATCCGGGGATGAGAGTCTCCCCCACGTTACATGCGGAGAAGTGGAGTGGAAGCTGGAGATATCGTGAGGGGTTTCTTCATCTTGACGATCGTTGACTAATCAGAAATTCTCTCCAACTCAATCACAGTCGTCGCAAGCCTGGCATAACTGGTATATAGATATATAGGTTTCTGTACTAGTACAATCAGCTGGGATCCATCGGTGGGCAACTGCAGTTCAATAGGTGTGGTGTCCGACACAGGCATATTTAGCAACAAGATAACCTTAACTTAAAGCTGGCCGGGATTATTATTTGCGAAGGTTATTGCGAAGCACCGGCGGTTGGATTAGTGTAGTTGGTTTACATTCTGAGAGCCTCGCCCAGTTGCACATACAATAATGGTCAGATGACTGGAACTGAGATCATCACGTGTCTACACTTTTGTATACTCAATATGTGCTGAGAAACCTGCCTCGATAGCAGTCCAAGATGATTTTTCCTAGAAATCTTATGCTTCGTGAAGACTCGTTCAAAAGGACACAACAAGCGATCGTTCCCAGCGACAGCGCCTGGAAATACAAATTCAATAACAGCAAGATATGACCCATGGACACCAACGCTGCAAAATATCAGAGAACAATTTCCATTGCCATAAAGCGATCAATCAAAGAAACCACCGGAACTCAGGACTGGCCGGACCATCCCTCAACCTTTCGGTGGGCACATCCTGCGCCTTAACCGTCACTCCATCCCTCCGGTCGCGCCTCTTATTATCAAACCACATATAAGCCCCCAGGCACCCTGCCAATGCGGCGCCGGTAGCCCCGAACGCCCCGACCGTGATCAATGCCGGCATGTACTTGGGCTTATCTTGACTGCGGAACACGTTACTGCTTACCAGACCCATCAAATTGGCCAGTGGCACGCCGATACTGGTGAGTAGCACACGGCGACCTTCGTGCGCGATGTTGTTGTTGTACCATGTACTCAGCAACACAGACGGGGCGGAAGTCCCCCAGGTCATCATGAATGTTGCGAAATACGCGACGCGAATCTGAGCTTGCACGTCATTGATGGACGCGTAGATCATGAAACCGGCGAATGTGAGTAGAAAGCCAAGGACGATAAACGGCGAGCGGAGACGAGCTCCATCGGAGCAGAATGCCAGGATCAGTAGCATGACGGCACCGGTAACGTTTGGAGCGACTGTGTATAGGTTTGTCTTGACGGTGCTATAGCCAAGTCGCTGGACAATCTGGGGTAAGAATAGGGCGACACCTTGGATGGGGACTCCGAGACAGATTTCAATGCAGAGGAATACGTAAGTACTGAAATGCTTGAAGATGCCGAGGGCTTCGCGGAGGCGAAATTCTTCGTTCACTACCGCGCTCGAATCGACTTGGATGCGATGCAAGGCAAGGGCTTTCTCGTCGTCTGAGAGGAACTTGGCTTCCGATGCGCTGCGGGGGAGGTACCAAAATGCGAAGATGGAGAAGAGTACAGTTACTCCGCCCTCAATGATGAAGAGATAGCGCCAGTTGGGAATGCTGGAGTGTTTGATCTGGAATACGCCGAATGCGATCAGGCCGGAGAAGGCATTGGCGATATTGGATGCCGCGTAGAAGATGGCTAGTCGTCGGGCGAGCTCACCGCGACGGTAAAAGGTCGTCAGGTAGTAGATCACTAGCGGGAAAAATGCTGCCTCGGACATTCCTAGGAACCACCGGAGTGTAAACATCCCACCAAAATTCTTGGTCGCAGATGATAAGAGGGTGAAAGAGCCAAAGCTAAACATGAGGATGGGCAGCACTCTGGCCGGGCTATACCGTTTGCCCAGCATCGCGAACGGTGGCGCAAAAATGACATATGGGACAAAGAATATGGACAGGAGGAGGTTGTATTGGTTGGGTTTGAAGTTGAGATCTATTCAATTAGTTTAAGATAGTGAATATTCGAACTGGGCCATACCTTCGCTCATATTATCGGTTTCGGCATTTCCCAAATTCCCTTTATCCAAAGCATTGAACAGATCTAATTCATCAGTATGGACTTCATAAAATTCTTGTTGAGGCTTACACATAACGGCCAGTATTGGAAGCAATCGCAGATCAAATCGACGGCACAAAGCTCGCTCCGCCTTATGATCAACCACTCGGACTACATCTTCGACTACACCTGGCGCAGATGCATAGGCACCCAACTTGTTAGTACCGTTATCATCTAGTGAATGATTCCGTCCAGCGGACTTGAACGTATCATGTCGCTCCAGGTCAGATGAAGGAACACTCTTCGACGCCATGATCCTGCCGCCAGCGGTGGGAAAGGAAGATGGGAGAGGGAGGGAAGAGAAGAACGGGCAAACAACAGAGTCGACCTGATGTAAGGGGTGCAGATTGTTCAAGTTTTTGTGACCCTCGCAAACGCTGCAGGTTTTAAAAAGCTTCTCCTCACATTGTCATGCAGGTCGGAAGGCAGAGTATCATCGTCATGGGCGATAAGCGCAGCAGGGTCGCAACCTTACCAGAAGAAGACGATGATAAGCGACTGTAACTCCTGTGCCTTGACCTCCAAAGGGCCAAAGACGGAGGCCACCCCCACGCTAACCTCCGCATCTCTCTCGTTGCTGCACGAATGCGGCGATCGTCGACGTTACATAGGTTGCATTGGCCGACGTCTCGGCGCCGCCGTGATTTGGTATCTTATCAATTGGAATGCTGTCGGCAACTTAATCTTGCTAGTACGGTACTACCCTCGGCAGTGTCTTACGCCGTGTAATAAATCCATTCGATGCCTGTTAACTTTCTAGTGACGAGATATTTTGAGGGTTGCGTCCGTTCTTATTGTTCTATGGGTGAATAATTGACTCTCTCATTCACTTGCGTCTTAGGGTTTGTGTCCAAAAGCGGAAGTAGATCCAGTGATTAAATGGAGCCCGATGGCCCAATAAGCCTTTACACTCTTTACAACATCCCGAAACGCCAACAACGTTTGATTGTATTACGCCCAGTACATACTAATAATCCGTCCAAGTTGCTCAAAACATAATGTACCAACTTACTTCCTCCGTTGCTCAGCATCAGCACGAATGCCTGCTTCCGCCCGTTCCTTCCAACTCGCCTCCCAGCGAGATAATGCCGGTCGCCCTTCCACAATATCATCGCTAGCCCACTGCATTCTAGCCTGATCCAATGGCCAATCGGTCTCCCCATCGGGGCAGATAATATAGAACGATCCCTTCTCCACTCCATCGGCCAGTACCTCTGCAGCTTGACTAGGGTACCACGCCCCAGCCATCTTCTTCACACTTTCCTCCGGTCTAGGCCCAACATTCCCCATCAATCCAGTCCAGGTCCACCCAGGGACAAACAGATGTGCAGATATATGTGCAGTCGCGGGATCCGACCGAAGATCATGAGCAAGGTGCTCCGTAAGGCTCTTGATGGCGGCCTTGGAGGCATTGTATGCTGGAACACCACCTCCTGGGGGGTTTGTGATTCCTTGCTTGGAGCCTGTGATAACGACGGATTTAGGTGTGTCGGTTGACAGAAGCAATGGAAGAATGGCTTCGATGCCGTTCAGCGGTCCGAAGACATTAGTGTCGAATGTCTGTTTCAATCAGCCCAGCCCCCGAGCTTCAAAACACAACACAGTTGTACAGACCTTCTTCCATGACTCTACATCTGTCCATGGCTTCAATTTTCCTTCATACTGACCCTGCGCTCTCTGTGGCCTTGCCGCATTCAAGAAGACGAGATCCACTCCACTGAATGCCGACTTGATGGAATTTGCAACTTCAGACCACCTTTTCTTATCACCAACATCGATCTCGTACGACTCGGTCTTGAGAGAAGGATCAACAGCAGCGAGTTCATCTTTCGCTTTGTGAAGGTTGGCAGCATCGATATCGAGCAGCGCAAGGTGCATACCCCGACTGCGGCAGAGCTTGGCGGTCGCGAAACCGATTCCGGAGGCCGCGCCGGTTATGAGCGCGGTTTTCTGGGCTTGGAAGACAGACATGATAGCTTTTGTCTATATTGACTAACGCTCAGTGCGACAGATGAAACTTGGTGGCTTGGGAGAAGAGGAGGCATTTATCTTCTGATTGTTCCCCGCTTCATCACGGAGTTTGCGGAGATAACTGTGGACCAGCATAAGCAGTCATAAAGTCATGCTCTGTAGAAACTATTTTTATACCTGTGGAGTGGATCCTCCATCTAGTAAATGTGCTATGATATAGTTACTATGCATTATAAAAGTGAACAATTCTATCTGTAGGTGTGGGCTGTATTTACATCCCGATTAGGGTACTACTACCCCAGGAAAAGTTCATGCCGATTATTTGCGGAGAAACAATCACCGTGTCGATCACAGATTTACCGGTAGCGACGTGTAAGGAGACCAAACCGGATTTTTTAACCAGCTTTTACTGGTTCTTCGAATGATATATGCAAAAGGAGGCGCCATTTACCCGGTTTAGCCGGTTCAAGCTTCTGGAAATCCGGGGGAATGGAGATTTAGCGGCTTCGCGGTGTACAATAGGCTTGAAGATTTACCCCAAGATTTCTAGTTTCTAAGTATATATAGGCTACTCAAGCTTTGACGGTAGAGTATACGACGAGCACATACTGTGTAGCAGATATCACTGTTCGAACATCGATCATGTTACTACATATTTTCCATCGCATTCTTTCTGTTCTCCTCCTATTTCGCATAGCCTGGTCCTATCCTCTTGATTCATCGATAGACCGACGCAACAATGCAGGCTTCCTCAATTCGGACACCCACTGGGTTAGCATATGGACAGCCATGCCTCAGTTGACTGAGCCAGCCAATCTACCTCAACCTCCATATGTATGAAGCACTCTCGGAGACCCTACATTCAGTCTCTAATGCTGTTAGAACTCCTCAACATCCATCTTTCAAAACACTACCATCCGCCAGACCATTCGTGTCACACAACCAGGTCATGAGATTCGCTTACGCTTGTCCAACGCATTCGGCCTTGAAGATCTTTCAATTACCAAGGTTGCCATCAGTCTACCCGTAGACCAGAAGCTCGGAACGAGTGCGATCCAGCGCAATACCACGAAGGATGTTCTCTTCAGTGGTGTCGTGGACACAATCATCCCGAATGGAGGACTAGTCGTTTCAGACCCAATTGCACTCCCAGTAAAAGTGCAAGATGCGCTCACTATCGACATCTATTTGCAACAGGGTCAGAGTGGAGGTGCTATCACCTCCCATCCAGGAAGTAGAACAACATCATGGATGACCTTGGGTGATTGGGTCGGAAAGCAGAACCTAACAGATCCTTCAGTGGAGAGTGTCGATCATTGGTTAGTAGCCGTGCTTGCACTACCCCGTTGCATATGGGACTGACAGCCTGTTAGGTATTTTATCAGCGCCATTGAAGCTCTCCTCCCATCCACGAGTCACAGCTGTGCAATCATCGGCGACAGTATCACGGACGGACGAGGAAGCGACACCAACAAGAATAACCGGTGAGCAACAGACTTAGTATAACGACCCAAGCAAGGCTAATGAATCCAGTTGGCCCGACCTTCTCCTAACCCGCATGCAACAAACCCCGACAACCAAATCAATCGCTCTTCTAAACCAAGCAGCAGGAGGAAACAGAATCCTTGCAGATGGGCTCGGTCCAAACGTGATCAGTCGCATTGACCGCGACGCCCTAGCTCAGTCCGGCGTCCGATACGCCATTGTCTTTGAAGGCGTCAATGATATTGGAGTCGCTGATGCCGATCCAGAGGTCCAGAAGAAGATTGGCGATAGACTTATTGTCGCGTATCAGCAGATTGTGACTCGTCTCCACGCATCTAGGATTCCTGTGTTCGGGGCGACCATAACTCCCTTTGGAGCGCCGGGTAATGCTTCTGATGTACAGCCCTACTCGAATCCTATCAGGGAGGACACGCGTCAGAGAATTAACGATTGGATAAGGACAAGTGGTGTGTTTGATGCTGTTCTGGATTTTGATGAGGTGCTTAGGGATCCTGAGGTACCGGCACAACTTGCGGATAAGTACGATTCGGGCGATTACCTACACCCGAATGTAGCGGGATATCAAGTCCTGGCGGACTATTTCCCTTTGGACTTATTTGAGGAATTCAGAAGCTAGGGCTAGAGCTAACACAAATATTAACAAAGAGCTAAGGCTATTACTGAGTAAAGCTGATGGAAACCAGGCTTCAATGACCAGATTACAGCTGAAGGAAGTACTTAGCTCAGTATCAGTCTTGATAGTCTGCCGGGAGATATTGTTCCTTATGTAAGAGCGCTGAAATATCTTCCTACCTTTGGCAGTAATCAGCTTTCACGCGCCTAATTGTGACCAGGTTTGGAGCAGCCATAGTCTTGAACGGACTCAGGGCAATATAGGGCTCGTTGCAATGAATATTTGGCTAAAGACCTTTAATTACGATTACCGATCCAGTCGTGATGGTCATGTCCGTGTTATTTTTCATCCAGGCTCAAGTATGCAAGGGACTGTGCTGCAGACACCAATGCTGTTTCACCACCAGGATGGCCGAATTGAACAGTCCTGAGTGGAGATTCGCTATCCAGCAGGAAAGGTACAGTCTCAAGGTAGTCAGACCGAGCCATCATCTGCATTGATATGGTATTTTTCTAGAAGTATGCGAACAGCGTCGTCACTATATCCTCATCAAATTAGCCACGGTACCTCCAAAGGTTTCTCGACGTATTATTCCAAGATGGCAACGTCATTTCGCTTCACAATTTTGCCCAAAAGTGCTCTGTAAGGGGATAATCATACTAGTAGGACGGGATTGTCGGTGTCGAGGGCTAACGTATCCTAACTTTCATCCTTGGTGCAACCTACTATATGGCATATGGTTGTGCTTCGGTCGCAGTACTCTTGTCATATTCTATTAGACTGGTTTGCAATGTGATTGAAGTATTATACACAGCTGTGGAGAGAAAAAAAGATATTTAGTAAAGAGGGACGGTCGGTGGATAGTAATGTTCAATGATATATATTTGATACTATACCGATATATGACTTCGTCGTGATACTCGAAACTGCAAATGGCCAAATATGGCTTCGATATTTTATGTTTCCATGTGCTACAGCAGAGCAGTATATCCAGCTATCAATAAATTGGTAAGTAGAACTCTTATGGAGATGTTTTCATTGATGAAATAGAAAATCATTCGAATGTTCAATATCTTTGCTCTGTTTGTTGCGAAGATGCCAAATCCTCACCGCCTCTGTAGGAAACCGGTTTTTCAGCTGGAGCGATGGAGAACTCCGGCGGACCGTATAGACCCTAATGGTAATTGCGGACTATCTATAGTCCGGATTATATGGTTACGTAAAACGCCATATCACGTGAGTCAGGAATGGTCTGACCGGATGAGGTTTAGTGTAAAACATGAAACGGCTGCTGCCCCAAATCCTCCTGCCAACTCCTTTAGGATTGAGCTTTGACACAGCCAATGTCTAGCATAGAGGTCCTCCAATCTCTTCCATACTCATGCTCGATACTCGATGCTCCATATTGACACGCATTTGGCCAAGTCTCATGTTTGATCCGTGCGGATGCGTAACGGTGTCGCGTGGCATTGAGGCTTACCTAGAGAGATCGATCACTGGCATATATATGGGTCTGATGATACATATGGTATGCAGCACGGCCATATGCGAGCCATGGATATGATTCCTGGGGTTATTCCGGAGCAAAAACGTTTCCCATGCTTATTCTATATACGGAGCGTGTAGAACGTGGCGCCCCCCTATTATTGATCTTGGCGATTTGGCGTCTATGACTATCCCCTCTACCTGCCTCTATTTGTGGAAATAGGGATGGGTATTCCGTATTAGTTGAGATGCAGCAGTGGCTGGCCCTCCATGACGCGCTAATCGAGGCGATGTCTGCTCATTTTGTCCTTAATCGCACAGGGAGACACGAGATTGGGTTCGCTATTATGAAACTCCAACCGTCTCCGAAAGCCACCGCGTACATTACATGTTGGTCGGAACTAGCACTTTGATATCTAGCAACCATTATGCATCTTCTAATTTTATCCTTGTCAAGAAAATAGAGTTGCATGTCATCAGAAGCTTAACAAAATAAGGGTATTAGCAGGGTTACATTCGGTTACGTAGTCCTTGCAGAGTTTTTCCTTTTGCAGAGGCTGGGAACCAGGGAAACACGTTGAGGTGTGGAGAAATCGAGATAGAGCAACCAGCATAGCAAATTGCACATAATTAAACTAGCCAGTTAGGCGATGGATAAACGTAAAGCTATGTTGGGCCCACTGTCTACTTTTTTCCAAGCGGAGCGCATCAAGGTTGGCAGTACCCTATCATGGCCTGCGGTCGGATCACTGACAGATGCTAGAATGGAGTTTACTAGGCTTCCGGGTATGCTTCGCGAAATGACAATTAGATGTCATGGCAATGGCCCCTGCATGGAATAACTGCAGGGACGAGAGAAGCACCAGGGCTTCAGGGGTATGACAAGTCGAATTCGGACATATGGTCGCTCGGGCCCAAAAAAAGAAAAACAAATAACCAGTAGTCTATTGCTAGGCCGGCATGAATTCCAATAACTGCATGCAAGATTATTCTACTTAACTCTTCACGTATTCTTACTGACGGGGCCAAGGGGCCAAGGGGCCAAGGGAAGTTTATAGCAGCACTAAGTACCGTAATCTAGCGATCGTCCCCTTTACACGGCAAATGGTCTATGGATGGCGGACCGAGTCGAAATGGTAGTACTGCTAATTCTGTCGTAGGAGCAAGTTTTGGGTGGAGCGACGCTGAAGGGGAACCAAGTGGGTATGCTCAGTAAGGGGGGAGCGGCGGTTGAGCCTGTGGAGGCGAAAGTACCGGTTCGGAGATGCCCAGAGATGGACTGCATTCCGGTATCATCGCATGCTTTGCTCGAAAAGGCATTTTTGTTTTTTGCGCAGTCAGTTTCAGGTAGAAGCCACCGCCACGAAAAGACGTCTAACAAACAACTTTATTTAGGGTTACCGCCAGATCCCCGTGCAGGTCGACAAAGGCCTTGTAGGTACGATACGAGTTTGACCGACCCACCTAAACTCTTGGGCCGGCAGTCGCACTAGATGTCAAAACCGTACATGTCGACTGCCGATCTAGTGTTTCGGGAAATTGGACTCGATCCCCGTCGACCTTAACATTCGCGAATCATGGAAGGATCTGATTTGGACTACCGTTGCGGTCCAATACCGGACCGTACCCCGAAATACCAAGAGTCCCCGACTGGATGAAATGTTGAAAGGCCCTCGGAAGGTCTCCTGTCTGGCTTGGACGCTAGATGACGATCTGCCCACCTAGCCATCTTGGGCTCTTGTGAACGGGTCGGAGGATCAGTTAGGGTAATTTTTGCTGAGGATCATTGCACATGCCGAGTGGACCACTGCATCAAAGCTTTCCAACTGGGACTTTCATTTTCGACTCCATATTAGACAGCGGTTCCCCTCCACGGGGCGTTCTGTAAAGAATGAACTTGATCCCACTCTGCTTGGCCCCCGCCCCTACTGTTCCTGGGGAATAATATCACTTCAGAATGAATTTGCGTCGGATACTGCTTCTGGCCTCAGTAACGCTGGCAGCTGGGGCTGCGGCTGCAAGTTCAGAATCAGAAGATACATTACCTGAGTGCGCGGTATGGTGCGGGATTGTAGAATCCTGAAGTACTCCTGCTGACCCCCTCATAGGTAACCTGCCAGAGCCAGTTAATCGCCGATAATTCGACGTCATGCGCATCTACCGATACAACATGCCTTTGCGGCGACGCTACATTTCAGAGTAACATGACCGATTGTGTTTCAACAAGCTGTACTCCAAAACAGACCCTCCGTATGTATCTAGAGTTATATCGCAAACTCTGTCGATGCCTAACTGTCTTGCAGTCACCACCCGACTCAGTAATCGCCAATGCGGCATAGCTCCCCATAAGGGACGTCCGGAACTGGATTCAGCCACACTCGTTCCTCTCATTTTTTCTACGCTTCTTTTCGCCAACAGAATTGCTGCTAAATTCATGGGCCTTGGTGGTGGCTGGGGTCCAGACGATTACACGATTATCGTGGCATATGTGAGGCTTATCATCGCTCCCATGCAGGTTAGGACTTTCGCTAAGACATATTTTAGGGCCTGGCGGTAGCCATATTCGGCGTCAATGCAACGAGTAAGCTTAAAACCTGTGAATCACGGATTGCTCCAGGCTAACTTTCAACCCTAGTGATCCATTATGGCTTTGGGCAGAACATGTGGGACATAACTCCACTGGACAACATCACAATAGTGCTCAAGGTTGGTTTTTACTTGCTTGCACCGCAACCCGGCCACCTGACTGATTTTTGGTAGTACTTCTTTGCCTTTGTTATATTATATAAGACGCAGATTTCGCTGGCGAAAATCTCCGTGTGTCTGTTCTTATTGAGAATCTTCCAGTCGAAACTGTTCCGCTATGGAGCGTACACGATCATCGGATTGAATGCTGCGATCGGAATCACCTGGGTGTTTACTGATTCCTTGCGGTGTATCCCGGTTCACCTGTCCTGGGATCAATGGGCGACTGGCGAGCAAGGGACGTGTGTCAACTTCATCGCGGTTACATTCGTCAACGCCTACGTCAATATCGGGGTGGATACGGTCATGGTGCTCATGCCAGTCTACGAGGTTTTTAAGCTGAACTTGTCTGCGCGCAAAAAGGCCGGTGTCAGCGTTATGTTCGCAATGGGTCTTGTGTAAGTCATATCCGTCCTCTGTGCCTCTAATACGCGTACTGATAACAATGACGGACAGTCTGACCGGTGTTGCAATTGCCCGAGTGATTGTCTTCTGGTTCAACCGCTGGAATACCAACCCTACTGGTACGTACTATTAATTACTCAACTCCGACGCCTTTCGAAAGCATAGGATCTATTCAGCGGGACTAGAACTAACTGTATGACTTCAGTCCAACTTCAACCGATCGTGCACTGGTCGGTCATCGAAGTCCACATCGCTGTTATGTGCGCCTGTCTCCCAACATTCCGAGCGATGCTTGTGCATATTTTCCCCAAAGTGCTCGGCAATTCCAGTGACCAGTCCTACTACGAACAGAGGAACACGCCCAGCAAACCGCCCACATTCGGCTCCGCCCAAGCGCTCAGCAAAAGCCATATTAACAAGACGGTTTCCTACTCGGTCGACTACGGGGCGAATAAGAGGCCCCAGAGACACAGTTTCGTGCCGCTGGTTGAAATGGATCCACACGACCATTGACTTTGGGCGGGGAATTCGGTCTCAGCCGAAATTACCTGGGAGTTGTGTTCTTGCCTTCTCCGTACATTTTTAGATTTCCTTTGTTCATTACCTATCTATTCATGTATTTATTATAATACGGGGAGGGGGAAGAAGCTCCTTATCCGGAGTCCCACTCTATATGAACGAGCTAATGCCAAAAAAATATTCCAAGCGATTTCCAGTTTTATGCTGCGTTTCCGGTTCAATCCGAACAACCCTACGCCAGATGTTTTTATGTTTAGAAAGTAAAACAGTGAACCATGGTTCTTCATGTCTAGGTCTCTGTATCACGTCCAATTAAAAATTCTAGCCTGACATGTACTACGGAGTACCGCACTTATCAAGACATGACATATCTAACATTGGAAAAAAAGAACTCACTTTTTAAACAAATCACAAACCCTCCCCGTGGCAAGGATCAGTGCAGAAATAATCCCCCTAGAATCCCTCTAGAAACCGCCACCCATGTGGAACCAACACTCGCTTAGGGCAAAGTCCGCCGTCAAAGCCCGCGGAAAAGTCAGACCTTCATTAAACCCTTTTTAAAATAGCAAACGGCCACCGCCAAGTGCCAAGTTATGTATCTTTCTTGTGGGACTAATGAATTCTAAATCTTTAGGTCCTGCTTGGCAACAAAACAGGAACCAGACCATTGGGACTTCTTTCTTAGTGTTCTTTTCTTTTTTATTTTCTTTTTTTATTCTTTGTTTTTATTGCAAAAAACCTCTCGCCTCTGACATTTGCCGATATAGATCCTACGTTACATTCATCGGGATATATTTCCTTCCTGTTAGCAACTTCAACTGGGTCATAGGGTAAACTGGTTCCATGGATACAGTCCCTTCCCGGTGTCCTGTAGCGTAGTGATCTGCACTTCTCTGCCGCTGCCATGGGACAGTACTTTAGGTACGCCGTACACCGTCCAGTGATAAGGAGAACCAGCTTCCCAAAGCAGACCCATCTTCGCCGAACAGACCCTGGAACTAAACTAGGGCCTTTTCTATGCCTTACTCTTTTCTGTAGATAGAAGTCAAAGGTACGGTACGTACCGAATACCGACTACCTCGGGCACGCTACAGAAGACGAAGAAAATCGGGTGATCGTGCTGCTTTCTTCTAGACTCCTGAATATCGCGTGATCGTCTTGTAGATCTCCTTTTCTTTCTTTCTTTTCTTTCTTTTTTTTTTTTTTTTTTCCAGCCCCCTTTTCCTTTCTGCAGAGAATGTAGCTAATGCATCTAGAATCCTATTCTTCACCGCAAATTCACATCTTCCCTTGGGATCAAACCTAAACCTAAGAGTAGACTAGAGAGTAGTGTGAAGAGTCTATTGACTCGGCAGTCAAAATTGACTTCGCTCCCCCAACCAACAATCTACCGCGTGTTAATTAAAAGAGAAAAACTATTTTTGGATGACAGGTCAGATATTTAATTTATAAGTGATATTTGACGTACGGAGTACTTAAGACAGGTTACATTAATTGCATCTCTTGGTTTCGTGGCAATGCACATAAGAAAACCTTTCCGGAGATTAAAGCGGACGGTACTCCGTGTGTACCCGTAATGGTATTCCATGAGCCCCCATGATGAATATTCAAAAGAATTACCCGAGACTGCCGAGGTTCATTGCATTGCATACTTTAATCAACACTGATTGATATACGTACACCACGTATAAGGAACGCGGGTTATAGTGGGGAAGGTGTTCTTGCTTCCCATGGATGTGTGAACTGTGGTCTGATCCCCTTGGTGTTGGAACTTGGGTCAGGGTTCTGTTCGATTGTGGATGATGAACGAGACCCTTGGCGTGATTTTTCATGTTATGTCGGGGTCCACTTCCCTGAGGAATTTAGTCTTGTGAGTACTGTATTGGCATTTGTGCAACTTATTCAATTTATTCTTTTTATGGGAGTTCTCCATGGTTATTATACATTCATGCATTCATCGACGTTGATAGGTAAAGTAAGCGAGGAGCTATCTTAAGGATAATTGCCTCGCGGAGATTAAAAAAAAAAAAAAAGTTAGATATTATGCTAACGTAAATTCATATCGTACAGATTTGACGAATTGTCCGATCTTGCGATGAAGGCTTAAACCAGCATCAGGCCGCGACGGACGAGTCCTCTCTTAGTGATTGCACCGGCATCTGCGAGCGCCTGCTTACGGCCGGGTCCGAAATCCGGGGTGCCGCCGAGGGTACCGAAGATGTCGCCAATGTAGTTGGAGGGCTTGACACCGGCCTTGAAGGTCGTGTTCCAGCCGTTCAGGATACCGTTGACGACCTCGATACCGGCGTTGTACAGGTTCTTAATGGAGGGCTCGAAGCCACCGGCATCGACGTAGCGGAGGTGCTGGAGGGCAGACTCGTCGGGGTGAGGCTGGTCGAAGTTGGAACCGGTGCGCATGACGATGATACGGGAGAAATCGGTGAGGTTGCGGGCGGAAGTGCGCAGCAGGGCCTGCAGGGTTGCGTTGTCCTCCTGGGCGCTGGTGCAGTACTTGCCGGTGCCGTTGGTCCAGACCTCGGTGGTGTTGTCGAAGGCCTCGCTGAGCAGCTTGCCGCTGTAGTAGACGTCCGTGGTGGCGACGTCGCATTTGAGGACGGAGGGCGCCTTGGTGGCGGCTTCGTAGCCCTCGGCGGTGTACTTGCTGCGGTATTCCTTCGCGGAGTCGGAGTCGGAGAGGTTGGCCTTCTTGGCGAAGGAGGCGGCCAGATCGCGCAGATCGGCATTCACCTCGAAGACTTCGGTGCCATAGATGCTGGTGGGGTATTGGTCGGGGGCGTAGGCACCCTGGGGGAAGTAGCTGGTGGTGAAGTTGTCGGGCAGTTCGCGGAGATCGATCTCGTACTGCAGGGCAACCTGGATTGCATATCTGGCGAAGGTGGCACTGCCAATGGTGGCTACCTTGGGGTTGACACCGGCGATACCGGCAACGAGGAAGTAGGTGTGGGTGAGGTCAAAGAAAGGGTGGAGGGCAATGGATGAGACTGTGATGGCGGCGTTGATCTCTCCCTCTCCGGTGATGAGTTGACAGACGCTGTAGTCGGCAGTACAGTGGACATCGGGGAAGACGGGTGAGGCACCGGGAATTGTGATGTTGTGAGCCAGGAGGTCGAATTCGGGGATTCCCCACCAGGCAGCGGCTTCGGGTTCAAACTGGTAAGATGTTAGGATTGTCCATCTCCAATTACCTCACGCAAGGGGTCGTACCATGGACACGATGAACACCTTAGGGGCGGCCTTCTTGGGGGCTTGAGGCACGGAGCGTTGCCATTTGGCAGGGTTGGCAGCTGCCAGGCAGCTGCTACTAAGGAGCAAGCCAGTGGTGATGGTGTTGAGAAGCTGCATGGTGCGAATGGCTTGCAGATTATTTGCTGGGGCCGTATCAATTGCGCGGGGCAGGCCTTTTATATCGCACGTTCTCTGTGCGTCTAGGTACCCTTTCCCAATCTTTTTTTTTTTTTTTTTACTTTTTTTCTCTCCTTGCCTTGTATCCATCGGCAACCGCCGATCAGTGCCGAGAGCGATAGACTATCATATCAAAATGCCCTTATCAGGAAAGATCAGCACCAATAGCGGGGATTGGTCTGCAAAAATCGCGATAACAGGCCAATGATATCTTTCATGGGGTCCTTTATCGGTGCTCAGCTCGACAATTTCCACGGTAATGACGTTACTTAGTTACTACGATATATTGATGCCCCCCACTGCATTTGGCATATTTGTAAGATGTAGCGCATATTCTCAGCGTAGAGTAGAGCACGACTTGTCTGTGCTGGATTGTAGAGTAACATGGCGCGCTTTGGGGATTCGGGATAGAGGAAACGAAACGTAAAAGAATGCTTGTGTAGGTATAGGGTTAGTTCCGAGAGTGTATCTGGCCCACATTTGCACCAACTTCGAGAAAAATATTCGGAGGCCGCGGATAGACTTCAATGGGGCTATTTAGTTAAAAAAACCCATTGTTGTTGACAAAATATTGTTGTCAAAAGAAGGAGCATTAATTCAATCTTACTCACGTCCATGCTTTTCTATCCTTCTACCGCTGGAGGTCCTGCTTATAGACGAGGGTTTGGGGTTGAAATTTGAACTGTTCGGATAATCATATCACCGCCTTGGTCAAAGATAAGAAATTGAAATGCAAAGCTTGGGTCGCGTCTCTTATCACACCCGTGATTTCTAGTGTTTATCTCGGAATATGTTCGGCAACGCGATGGAAGACCTACCCCAGCAGAGGTTTAGAGCATGGGGTATAGTGAAGGGTCTGGTCTTTTTAGCTTATTCTGGAGCCGCAGTAGGCGTCACGTCAATATAATAACTCTTCTTGGCGAGTTAGTAGTCAATGCGAACCAATACCCAGAAGCTTAAGGTGATATGAACAACATTGACGAACTCATCCCCCTTCGTCAATTCTGAATGCGGCATATATTGAATCTTACCGATGAAGCTCGCATTATAGTACACCTGAGGGATAATGTAAAGGCTTTGTAGTCACGTCTGTCAATATGTCCACACCATCGTAGAACATGCAATATCGCATTGACTTGATCATATGGCAAAACATTCCAATCATAGTCAGGGTGCATACTCTCCTCCGGTTGTGGGCTTACTATACTTCTTCGGAGAAAGATTCCATAGAGCCATCAGCCGGAGCAAGGGTCAACGCGGCCATATCATTTATCAACATGACCGTTACGTGCCACATCTAGTGATATACCCCAGGCTTTGCTTGTCACTTTGGAATAGGGTTCTAGATGTAAATATTCTGCACGAGATATACCTCACTAGACTGTGTTTTAATTTTGTTGGCTGCGTCGTGTCTAACCACAAGGTGCAGCTTGCACACAGGAAACCTATTCCTAATATCTTATCTATATTAACACACCATCAAGATAGTTTATATACTCATGCAATGGCAGACAGAGTTTTGGATCACACTAAACCCATACGGAGACATCTGATCGAGAAGACAACGCTCTCATGCATTGCGTGCGTCAGATTCCCGAGCCTTCCAGGATCCACCCCCAAATTTAGATAACCATAGATAGTGGAAGTAAAGGCCGCGTAAGTAGTACAAGCCAAGAAGTGTCATCGCATGACCGAAGACAATGACATCTCTGGCTGGGTCGATCCGCAAAGTAGGGCAGATGCATCACACGTCATCCACGTGTGCTCGGGGCGGATGACGTCACCCACCCGCTGTCAGATGGTTTCCAAGGGTTGCGACCCTATATTATACATGGGCCTACCAACCTAGTTTCTTTTTACTGCTCAAGAGGTACATTCCTGTCCACAACTACAGAGAGGGTATAAGCAGGTCATTATTCTCAGCGAGGTGTAAAAGACAAGCATTTTACTCTGCAACATCACATCTTACTCCGGACTAGAAGGGCATAACGTCATCAAGGTGTGTACGAACATCCATCCCTCCTACATCAATATTTGCACCTGAGATTAACGGATACACCAGCAGAAATGGCTCCTATTCACGAACGCATCCGCGAGGATCTCCTCATCAAAGAGCGCAGTCTGTGGACTGCGCTCACCTCCGCTGACCCAGGCCCCGAGATCGAGAAACTGTCCAACTCCGAAGCCAATCTCCTGTTCCCCAAGACACCTATCTTGACTCTGGACGGTGAACCTTCTCTACAAGAAACACTGAAACCCCCATTTCATCATTTCGATGCGTTCGAGTTGAAGGAAGTCCGAGTCATCATCATTGATCTCATGGCGGGAACCGTTACCTACAATATCAATGCCTCGAGAGGAAAGGAGCAGTATCGGGCCACGGGATCAACGACTTGGAGTCAATCATCGGATGGGGAATGGAGAATTGTGGCGCATACAGAGACATTGCTGTGAATCTGGCTTTAGCGGAAGGCATTTTGTTCACTTATCTCATTTTCTATCTATGTCCTTTAATTCCTTGCTGAAGCTTTGCTGTATGAATTTATGACATTTTCAATATACCGGAGGATTATAACTACTAACCCTGCATTCCCTTCCATATTATGAGTATGTTAATATGCATATATGTGTCCCCCAAGTGGAATCTAGTGGTAACGTGGTGTTGGAATGCTTCGCAATGCCGAGCTTGAGTATCCTTCCTCCAACAAAATGGAAGGAACAGCAATTATTTCATAGGACATTCCTTAATTTAAGTTGGACATGCCATGTTAATTTTTAGGGGCTACAAAAAAACTGCACAATATAGTATATTGTGAATAAGGTGCTTTCAATTAACAAAGAATCGCTCAGCTTACCCATTTCTATCTGACAAGGATCTGGAGAGTAGCGGCCATCATTCAACCTGACCAGATGTATTCCATTCTCACAAAGAAATTCTTGTCATGCTAATTCATTCATTTATCTATAAATATGGCCTTCCTGTTTGCACTTTGTTCCCCTCTCGGTCGCTCTACCATCTTCTTTCTCCTACCTCACGTTGTGTTCCTGATCCCCACCGAAGCCCTACAAGTATACTGCCTTCCAACGGGGGTATATATATAGATTTATGTATATCTTGAACAATATGTGACAACTCGGCGGGTTCAGCATCGCATGTACTCCTTTCGTGGATAATCTCTGGGTTATCCATGATACCTTTTATCCTGGCCTTTCGACATCGAGCGATTCGATGTTGTTCGTTATGTCGATTCTGCCATTGCCGAACCTTCATCGGTAGAATATCATGTTGGTAGGGGCTTCCGTCTGGGGCCCTAAGGCCGGAAGTATGGGTTCTCCTGGGGCCACTAAGCAAGCCCACAACACGGAGGAAGTTAGTGATAGCAAGCTGAGATAGCTAAGAATTCATGCATGAATATGAAAGCGCCCCATTTCACCCATTAAGATATCATCCACGGGACAGACACGTCATTTCAGGCGCTCGCTTTCTATAACTCGTGATACAGACAGGTTGTGGGGGTGTTTCACCAGTTATACAGCGCTCAGAAGTGCAAGTGGTCTTAAAGGAGAGACTTAAAATCATTGAGCCGAACCACGACGGGACTGAACCCACAATCCTGGCAGTAGACAGAACGAGCCGCGCAGCTTCTTTGTTTCATCATTCCCGGGACGAAGTTGTTAACCGATCTAACGACGTGAGATTTCTCACCTTTATTGGCTCCTCGAGCACTGCGATGAAACGGTGCCTCTTTTGCACCTTATCGCCGAGATAGAGGTGTCGGTATCTGCTGGCAATTTACTTTGTGTAATATAGCCTATGCAGTAGCTTGGGGTTTCAATTCCACCACGGATGGGATCGCTTCGAGCACTTTGGCTGTAAGGGGGATGTCCTTCGGGCATCGTTCAGCGGGCGTTAAGCATGGGCATTCATGTATACAGCACACCGGCACAACCAGAAACGGGTAAGCCCATTCTAAAATTAAATTGCTCTATGCCCACTATCACACATGACCATAGCAACGAGGCAGCTGCAGGGATTGGATTATGTGCATGGCCAGAAGCTCCCCTTGATAATTCCCTTGTATCCTATCAGCGTCAACATTAGACTGATGACTCTAGTGGTCCTACTGCCATCGACATACCCGCGGAGGCCTGTGTCCTCCATGGCGAAGATATCGTCATGGAGGATACTAGCCTCCTAGAGGAGGATTAACCATGCTTGATGCTTTTTAGCAAGGGGCACCAAGGGAGCGAGGGAGGGTTGACCCCAGATATTTCAAATATTGATCTTGAATCTAATCTAAGGTTCTAACTAGCTGATGATTTACACTGCCTATCAAAATAACCTCAGGGATGTCGTGAGAGCCGTCCGAATATATTTTCCGATGTGCTTTATGCCCACTATTGCAATTGCAATCTTGGCAACTGCGAGGCAGCTGTATGGCCAGGATCTTGCCCTGGACAGAACCTCCCCTTCTTGGTTTCATGCTCTGAGGACATCGAAATAAGAGACTGTTAAAGGCGCCATGTGAGGGAGGGAGGGGTGACCCTGAATGTACCACGCTCATATTATATGGGGAAAAGCGCGATTCGCTTTAAGGCTGCTTTATATTGTCTAGGGCACGTATACCCCAGTGCATTGTCGGCAGTTGGAGCTGCGTCAGTGGTGGGACCTTTTTCACCCCGGTCAGAAGTCTAGTGTTCTCAAGGCGAGAAAGGCAAGCTATGATAATACTCAAGTGATTTTACAGCGGATATGTCTGACATGACATATGGCAAACTTTTATTTCCTTTACAGGAACTCTTGGGTCCGAGTAATACCAACCGAACACCATGATATGTGTCAGAGATGAATCAATTAAACTCGTTCCACCTGGGTGAGAAAGGGCAGATAAACAAGACTGAAGACCGTCTTTTCAATATCAAGTGGGCACTAAGTATGCTACTTACTCTACGATTCGGTCACAGCGTGCTAATCTTTGGTTATAGCTTTTGGCTGTTTCACGAGTTGCTATACTCATTCACTTCTATCTCAAGGATAGCTAATCTTTCTTAGCCACAAAGAGAACGTCCTCGTAAAGAAGCTGGACCATCCAGACCGTGGACTTTGTTCTTTGAGGGGGGAAAAGTGAGAATGTCGCAACAATGGAAAGCGATTCGCCCGCCAACATTACACAAGGCCTCGAAGCCAGCACAGGATCGCTGGGCCTACCCTTGATACAATGGCGGCCGATACCAAGGGCAAGGGGCCTGCGCTGCCCGTAGCCCGTATTGACGTTGACTACTCGGCAGAAATATGAGAATGACAGAAGACATCTAGACTTATCCCTGGGGTACCCAGCCCAAATGTTTCTCTACGATCTGCGTATGCGCTCCTCGGCATGGAAGAAACTGATAACAGAACAATCCAGTAAGCTGCTCAGGGATGTGGCAGACTGGTATTTCACACAACATAAACGCCTGAGTCTATCAAGCATACCGCTTGGTAATAGCCTCTGCCTGAGACTATAAGGTACTTCTTCTTATTATTATGCGTCAGGTGTCTAAATTGGCATTAACATCATTCTGCTTTTAACTAGCATTTTTGAAAATTAGGTGGCAAATTTGCTACAGCTTGTATATACGGGCTGTTGCATGGTTGGCAGTTAGAGTGCGCCTAGGGCTACGCCTCAGCCATATATAGCCCTGTCTGGCGACGGGTGTGCATTAATGGAGCAGGCACTCAATCATACAGTAACAGCGACAGTCATGATACCGAGCTCTGCCCCGGTCAACGACTCATCCGCTGATATGGCACTGATTGAAAGCGCGTCGGATAGATAACTGAGGATAGGAAGAACGGTTTTCTTCAAGGGCGGCAAGAGTGGTGGGAGGGGTCGAGTGAGGCTAAACGATGTTCTAGTTGGCTATATCTGCCAACATAGAACATATCTTGAGCGAACTCATAATTGGGCACACGACTTAGATTCATCAGGCAACGTTCGGGCTAGAAGGGTTCCGTACGGATCCCCATTCTTACTACGTAGGCCCGACAACAAGGCATACATTGGAGTGTACCGCGGATGCTATGTGCTGATGAGATCAGGACTACAAGCAATAAACAAATAAGCTCTGTGCGCTGTGTTTGAGCGCATGCGTTTTATCCTAGGCAGTTCACGGATTCATGATATCTCGGTTATTGTTGAAAATGATCTGGTTCTTTTGAAGAACCTTTATTACCTCAATGACTCTTCACTACAGGCAAACGTCAGCTATAGCTCGGCCTATCGAAGTGGACATATTGGAAATAGAAAGCCACCGCCCAGACATTGTAAATACCAGCAGTGTCGACAACTGTAAGGGAAGACATGTCGCTACTGGATTGCAAACACTGATCAACAACAATCACCTTCCATGAGAACAAGAGAGGCAGAAGGCAAAAGCAGGATTGTGCTTTTAGATTTTCCCTTCTTAAGGTGTCCAGGAGGTTTATGTCAAGGACTCCTGACTCTAGATAGTAATACATAGCATCGAGAAATGAAATCATTTAACCAGAAACCCTCTTATACACATCTAGCTAAGGGCAAAGAAAGGAATAGAATAATACTAGTTTTGTAAATAGATATTCATAACTCACATACTAATAGAATAGCCATTCTCTCGTTGAATCTCTCATCACTGTGCATATATTGTTCCTGGTTCTACATGGTTTGTAAGCACAGTTGAAGGGGGTTCAAATCTCTGGGCCCGGTTGATGATCGCAAATAAAATGCATTCGTTATGAAGGTCTCTGAAAGAGAATATTATTTGTTAGATGTGGGTATAATGTAGAATGCTGGGAATGTAGCTCTATTTTACACTGAAGTAAGATTTTTATGAGAGGGTTCGTATATACGGGTGGGGGGTAGGGGAAAGGGAGGAGTGGTTGCCCATTCCACTAAAGTTGTAGACTCCACGAATAGATGATGGTAATCAGGGTAAATAATCATCAGTAAAAACAGAAAAAGAAGAAAAAGAAGAAGAAGGAGAAGAAGGAGAAGAAGAAGAGAAGGAAATTCATTTCACCACTAATCAAGAGAAGCGAGGAATCACCTTCCTCTTTGAGTCTAGCCTGGCAATGTAAGATGACAAGCCGCAGATTGAGATGATTGTTGGAATTCATATGACCGACGGTACGAAGTATAATTCCCCAAGGAATTATGTATCATAGAGTCACGCAAAGTTGTCTCCAAGAGATTCCTATTTTTACTATAGATTTAGCGCTACGAACTTCTACTATGTGAAGTCCAAGCGATTGAGGTTACCGTTGCTTGACTTAATCCACTACTCTTCAATAAGCTGGCAAGTCAAGAAGATCAGTGGTCATTGTGGGTTCGGCAAACAGTGGCCCACTACTGTCGCTGATCTCTGGGGCCAGTGGCTTAGTGGGTGTCTTGGATTCCTTCAGCCAAACGCCTTCCGGTCCCTTGATTGGGTCTGTGATCTGCAGGGCTGTCGAAGGTAATCGCCACGCGGATGTCAGCTCGATGAAATTAGTGTCAGGCCAGGTATCAAGGTTGTGAATTGCCTTTCAAGGTGTAAAACAAAACTGCGTGCGTGGTAGAAAGGGAATGGCTAGACCTAGTGAAATTGAGTTCCAGACTAGACATCCATTGCTGATTCGGGCTTTTATGGAAAAGAAGCTAGAATCCAAAGCTCATGATTTAACCAAAAAGGAAAGAAGGGGTAGAAAGTAAAACAAGTGTCCTCAAACCCCTGACCACTACGACAAGGTCTAACGCAAATCTGTCTGTACTACATTTCTAGAGGACTTTGCTCGAATGCATTCCAAAAGTACGGAGTACTAGACCACCACCACCACCACCACCACTACCACCACCACCACCACACAGCATGTCATCGATCTAGTAACGAAGGATCTAAGACTAGTGGCTGCAAGGACCATGCACACTCTTGCACTGCCTCCCAAAATCGCAATAATAAGCGACTCGTCGGGAGATTGCCGAAGGACAAACAGGGCTCCGGGCCGCAGTGTGGGGGCCGGTTGGAGTGTCCATAACGTGGCACTCCTGGAGGCTTGGGTACATTTCTTCCACAGTTCAAGCGTATCGTTGAGACGAGCTTAAATGCTCGGGCAACCTTGCGAAGAATTAGTGATGAGTCAGGACGTTGAATTAGCTTGGATCATTCTACCCGGGAGGGTGGTATTTATTCAGTAAAGTGGGTCGACAAGGACCACGTGCATCCTACAGTAGTACCTCTTATCCCGGGCAACAAATGCTAAACCTCTGCAGTAATTTGCTCGTTTAAATTGCCAACACCAGGTATTGCTCACTGCATGACCAGGCCTCCCTATGGTCTGGGGCAACAGGGTCGTGAGTGGCAGATAAGAACCACAGACTTGGTAGTTAGTGATACGCCGGCGGCTCGGTTCCATCCTTATAATGGAGCGAAATATAGCTCCGCTCATGGCTGTCCACTGAAATGGTGCCTTGCACTTCCGTTCCGGGAAAATGGTCTCACGGTTAAAAGATGATGGGCTGTTGGTGGGGCATCCCCATCCAACCGAGAGAACTTAACTCCAGCTTTGATATCTGTCACACAGCGAAAATTATTCAGAGACAGGCAAGTGGAGTCCTAGTCTAAATTTAGGGTTAGGTTAATCACCGGTATCGCCTTATCTGATCTAGCGAAAGTTCCGTCGAATCAGCGTCCAGCAAGTCACTCCCAGATTAGGGCTAGTTCTTAGGCCTACATGGACCGGACTGCTCTGGATTCCAAGAGTCTGCCAATCAACACGGTCCAGACGAGAGGCGGGTGCTGTGATAGCTTGACGCAACTTTGGTGAGGCTTTTCCCATCTCATTATCGTGGTCCCGAAGGGTTTTCACATGGCTGCGTATATAACCTGAAGCTTCCCCTTTAACGCGGGGGATCTCGGCATCTTACCTTTCCGATCAATCATCTTAAAGTGCGTTCTTTCGTCATTATGAATTCCTCCACATCCTCTGCGGTAGACCTGCGTCCGAGGCAAGCAACAGATTCCGAGTATGATGCGGAGATCGGGGTTTTGCAATGGGATGAACCCGTAACCCATCATGATCATGATCACCATAACCGTGACTCCAATTACCACCCACATTCCATGCTGACAGAGGATATCCGATATATCCCAACCATGGTCACTGGAAACACATCCGCGCTTCTGCATTCAATACCAATTTCCCCATCGTCAAGCCTTTCGCCACCAGGAGTGACTGCCTGCATCGCTATGAATCCACTGGACTCTGCAATTATGGGTACCGTTGGTGTTGACTCACAGCATATCGATAATAGCGGGCATCGAATATCCAATGTGGGTGACAAAATGGCTCAAGATCCACTGTCCAAAACGAATTTGACTTTTAACCAAAGGCGCTAACTTCGATGCCATAGACTATCAATCGACGACAATCCCAAAATCGCGAAGCCCAGCGTCGATTCCGAGAACGGAGAGAGCAGGAGAGAGTTCAAACGCAGGTCAAGATGGACGTACTTCGCACAGAAAACAAACGTTTGTCGGATCTGTTCCACCTGCTAAGGACGGAGAATCATAGAATAGAGGGAGAAAACGAGCGATTGAAGTCGGAACTAGAAATAATGAGGAAACGGTGGAAGGATGTGCTACGTGTAATGTCGGAGATGGCGCAGCAAGATGAGCGGACCGCCGGTTGTCGGTCATCATCTTCCACCACCAGCTCTTTTTCTTCTTCCGCATCACCCTCTGGCCCTTGCTCTCAGGTAGATATGCAGAGCCTCAGGCGTTCTATCGTGATGCAGACTCTGGTAGCACTTTTTGAGGAGAGAGGATCGGATTCAGCACGTTCTGTCACAGTTAAAGACGGCTCTGGGAGCCCCTAAAATACTAATGCATATTAATGATTGCCATGATGGCCAAAATGGAAGATTATGATCTTTAAAATGATGGATTCTGTTGGCTGCAAGGTCTTTGTGGTTAATATAAGGGGGACTAAATTTAGCTTAGACCGGCTTCTCCACCATTTGTCAAACATGGTGAATTCTTACAGCTCAGTCGTTCTCTGCAGAGACATGGTAGTACGTAAACATGTCGGGAAATAATCGGAGCAACCAAGAAAATGGATCGTATTCTGTTGGATACTCGAATTACTCCGTATAACCGAGCCTCGAGGGGCTAGCACAGAATCAAGGCTAAACCTAAAGTGGAAGTGTGTTCCTCGACTCCTATTGGACCGCATCCTATCTGGATAGGCTAGAGTGAAGCTAAGACAACTTGGTCTTTGTCTTCTCAGCGCGGTCATCAGCATCGGCTACAGATTCGGCACCGAGGATTCGATTACACACGGCGGTGATCAGCACCTTGAGATTTAGTGGAGCTGGGAGTTAGTGTCGAATATGGGTAGCAAACCACAAGAATTTCTCTTCGTCAATGGCCCTGCGTTGGTTAGCGGTTCCAACACACATTCTCGAAGAATTAGGTCAGCTCTGATAAGACGGCGTATCTCTGAAAAGCAAACAACCTATCGCCATGAGGAAGCTGCTAAGAGGGAGAAGTTGATTGACCAGAGAAAGGTACAGGGGGACCATCATCGGCATGCATTCAAGAAGCTTTGTCCCTGTCGCAGAGAATTCCAGGGCTCTGGTTCCGACCAAACTCAAATGGGCCCCCATAGTAGTCCAACGCTCCTCGTCACTGGCGATGGGGCTACAGTTTGTGGGACCTGCAGTAGGTTAATGTCTCTGAACGATTTGAGGACCAACCAGAAGGCCGAAGAGGCCCCCTCGGCCTTGTCAGCTGTGAGTGGAAGGATGGACCCATTCTCCCCACTAGATGCGAGCTGGGGACCGCAAGTCGACAGCCTAGTGCATTTCGGTTAGTGGCTTGGAAATCTTTATTACCCTGTGCTATTGCACTGGCCACCTGCGATTATTCCTGCTGACTGACTTTACACGTAGCTTTGACCTCCATATGGCCCGCATTTCGGCAATCAAACTATGCCGGGATTTGTTATCAGGCTTGGATTCAGCAATCGTCTCGAAATAAGCTCGTCATTTATAGCACCTTGTGGGCCGCGTCCTATCACAGGGATATATTACAGATTAGCTACGGTGCTCCTGACCCGGTGTTAGAGACCAAAGAGCAATTGTACTACAAAGGCCTTGTCCTGAACACTCTACACAGCCATGTAGCTAACTACACAAATGAGACTTGGCGTGACAGTGTCATCATGTCTGTTCTATATCTTGCTGTTAATGACCACGTCAAGGGAAAAGTAGCGCGAGACGCGAGTCCGTTCACTCCTCCTTTTGTGGGCTTGCAGTCTCTCTCTTTCTACGGTAGCAGGGAGTATCATTCTATGCACTGGACATTCATCCAGACCCTTCTAGATCGCATTGGAGGGATCCACACCGTCAGGCTGTACGGACTAGGCTGGCTGCTGTCAATGTAGGTTTACTACTTACCTCGGCTCGTTCTGGGCTATCCTGTTCTCAAATACCTGATATGAATTTTACAGTGCGGATTTGATGTTCGCCGCCCATTCCTTGACGAAGCCTCGGTATCCCTTGGTAGACGTACAGGGGAATTTATACAACCTCTTTTCGCCGCTACAAGTGTTTGACATCGCACCAGAACAGCCGTCTCTTCCTGGATCGGGGTTCCGAGAGCTTTTGTCACTTACACCCCCCGTGAACGAAAAGATCGCAAACGTTTTTGTACATCTAGGTGAATATTCGAAAGTAATACAAATGTTCTCCCATCGGGATCTTGATGCTTCGCCCCTGGACTTAATTGGAGACGTTCGAAACCAAGTGCACCATGATTTGTTTAGCCTACCGGACGAGCATGGCTTACCTGATTGCATTATCGATCAACCGGATGACCCTTGTGATAGTTCCCACTCTCTCGAGCTCTATCACGCCTGTAGGCTCTCTGCCCTATTATACGCACTCCACGTCACGTTCCCAGTCCCTAAGTCTTCTGCTCTCCGAGCCGTTATTATCCCACAGCTTACCGAGAAACTCCATCATGTTAGTCAGAAGATGTCTAGTACACTGCTTCTATGGTGTACCACAGTGGCTACTATTGCAGCAGAGAGCATGGCCCAACGCCAATCCCTAGTGCAGCTCACCGACAAAGTCCGTCTGGACTTGCAAATATATCAGTTAACTCACGCTGTAAAAATACTGCATGTCTTTGCCTGGACAGATGTCGCATGCTTAGGTGGGCTTTATAGACTTTGGGACGAGATAATGCGACTTGGCAGAAGAGGTGTCCTGCAATGATCACTACGAGCGCAGCATCCTGATAAACGAACAGTTTCTTGCTATGGCATTATCAGAGACGTGGTATACCTTACTGGCCAAATTATATTACTCTCCACCCATATCATGTAGAGTCCCATAATGTCGAAGTCCCAGTCCAGATATTGAACAACTCAAGAAGGATGCAGAAGGCGTTCTTCTAAAACAAAACCTCAGTGGGATCTCACAAGCTCCTGGCCCAGGGCAATCTACTAACGTCTGGCTACCCAATACTCGTCAAGGTGGATGCCAACATATACAACGTTCACCTCACAGCCTCCCAAGGCAATTATACTGTTCATTTCTATTTTGTTGGCTCCGAGTCCATTTCAATCCAAGGAGAAGGTGCTGCCTATGTCGGCATACCAAGGAAGGCAGCGGAGCTCGGCTTTCTTTTCACTGCAAAGCTTGCTGGTTGATCCCTCATAGTGATGAGCCATAACAACTCTCATTATCGCGTTTACCAGGATTCCCGACCGATGAGTTTGGCGTACTATGAGAATGCTGTAATGGCGGCCGGTTTGACGATTATATCGGAGGTCTGGAGGTAGATCCAAACCAGTTATCGCTACTGGTGTGCTTGCAGCACAAACAGGGGGAATGGAAGCTTTTCCACTTCAACTACAATTTTCTGTGGTGTGAATCGGACAGTGAGGCCCACATCTGCTATTTCATGGATTAGGGAAAGCCTATGAAGATCTAGTCCGTCCGATGCGAACAAAAAAGTCGATCCATTGATATTGCATACATTTTGTTGCAGAGGAAACGAAAGAGAAAACAGTATTGTAATATATTAGTCTTCGAACAAGCCAACTGGGGAGTTGGACTTATCGAATGGGTGGTACAGGGCGCACCCATCAGCTCTTATGTATGTACAGGGAGACATTTGCTGAAATAGATACCAACTATGACTATTTAAATGTCCATCTACGAAGCAAGACTGTCACATTTGCTTCAAGCTGAATCCATTTTAACCACGCCTTTTTCTTCTGTTAAATATTGGGTGAGGTAAGGAGAGGCTGCATACACCTCGGCCTCCATTAGATCCCATTCTTCCCGATATCAATGAACAGATACCACATCATAACAGAGTAATCAAAAAGCTACTGTGGCCCTTGCCATGCAGTCCTTCGCATCCAATCCTCCAAAGTACTGGCCTTAACGCCAAGATCTTCATAGGATCTATCCTCACTTCGATCCATTGTTCCGTAACAGATCTTGTCATCTGGGGCCACAGAGATCCATTCCATCATCTGTTTTATATCTTCTTCATATCCTTTGCCAACAGTCGCTGCGACAGTGGCGCCCCATTGATCCAATGTTATCGGGTCGAAGGTAGCTTCTTGTGAAGTAATCTCTCTGAACACTCTCGCAAAGTCAGCAAATGAGAGTTTTGGTCCAACAACAGGATACGTTTTTGATGATGTCTTCTCCGGTCCCAGGGAAAATATCTCTGTCTTTGTATTAGCCACGTTTGTTGTCTTTAGTGAACAATGAGATCGTCGCACCTGCAGCATATACGCCAATATCATAGCTTGGATCAACCCAATCAGCTAGTTTGTTCCCATCTATTGGGGCGCAAAACCGGACTGTTCCATCGTCTACAATACTTTAGCCATCAAATTCGTTTCCATGCGTGGAGGTAACCGCTTCTTTTGAGACTGACCTTGGCGCTGGCAATACTGGGACCATTGCATGTTTGTGTAGAACAAACCTATTAAAACTAAGCACATGCCTCATCTTTGGATGTTCGTGAACTTACCAGGATGTAAAGCCGTCACGGCAGGGAGTTCATTCCGAGCCCACTGCTCAATCTTATACTTGTTGTCAAAATGGAAAACCTTAGTAAAGCGGCCTTTACTCGCGTCCGTTATGTTGGGCAAACTGCTCATTACGAAGTGCTGCGCATTGCAAGCCTTATACATTGATCGCACAACTTAGCTTCGCGTTCTTCTTTCTAGCATTCATTGTGCTGGGATCCTGATAAAGGTATACAGAGAGTAAACACACACCTTCGCCGCATCAATAATATTCCTCCCAGCCATCAGTTCATGATCCATATCCTGCTCTTTTTCGATCTTCTTCCCGGGGATCCGGTTATTCGTCACAGCAAACACCCCATAAGCATTTTTGAACGCCTCAATTAGGGATTGTTTGTCGTAAACATCAGCAGCGACCATCTCGAGTCTACCACTGTCCTTGTACTTCGCCTGAAACCTCTGCGCTGCAGGGGAAGAAACGTCGCGAGTGATGGCGCGAACGTGGAAACATGGTTCGGCCTTTGCGAGAAGTGCTCGTACAACACCACCCCCTTGATTCCCTGTTGCGCCGAGGATGGCAATGTATTTGGCCTTTCCTTGGTCGGTTGTCATGTTGGTTTGTTTTACATAGACTTGATATGCAAGCTTTTGCTGTCAAGGTGGGGATATTCAATGAGTAATACGTTCTTCGAAATGGTGAGTCTGCGAGTAAAACTTCTTTTAATGAGTGTAAGGCCGCTATGCAGCTATAGATGGTCTGGACTCCACCAACAAAGCTTTTTTATCTGCGGGGCTCAGCGCTTTTATATCGCCCCGTTGCACTAGATTCTGGGGTATGGGTGACGCAATGGCCCCTTTGCCGTATTTCCGTTGATATGTAGGGGAGAGGGTTTTTCCGGGTATGGAACCCATCAGTGACCTCGGTAACAGGTTATGTGCCTAACCCACATATTACAAGGTTACTACTAAGTTGTCTTCATTTTACAGATCCCAGTAAGTTATGTGGACTTGAAACAGGATATAAATTATTGATAAAACAAAGGCCGCGTTCGCACAGCTCATTGTTGGAGCTAGGTTATTCGGAATTACGGAAATGTGGATCTTAAAAAAGCACATAAAGCTTATTTTTTGGCGGGAGTATCCGAGATCATCATAGATCAGTTTGTCCCGGTTCTTGCACCTAACCTGCGCTAATATGCCTCTAAAGGGGGTTCGAGTATCTTTTCCATGGGTTCCCTTGAGCTCTGGCTGGTATTGATCGTTTACGTGACCCGACCATTTGTTGCCACTATCAACAAGTTTCCATGTTATGAAAGGTCGGACGCTGGATACATAGGGAGGCCATCGAACACATACATTTGCCGCAAATTATGAATCCATCGACTAATGAACGATTCGGATCAGCACAGAAGCAATATATGGATTATATCCCTATGCTCTCGGCCAAGCTCTTTTGCTAATTATGGATGCCAACCCTGGGCTATTCTGAAAATCGTGATCGGTGTGGTTAATAATGCCAATACTTATGAACCCAGGGCTATGGCGTGCTGGTCTGCTGACATGCTCGGGGAAGACGCTATTCTTCCTGGGCTAAAGTGTTAATAAACATGGCCCTATGTTATAGATGTTATAGTCCTTGGACTAGGCTGTTCCCAAACATGATCCTTCCATAAATATATGCTAATAAATTAAATGATCTTAAGAACTGGAGTGCACGTCAAGGGTATATGTATATAGACATTCGATTTTGTTACTTTTGAAGAAAGCCTATACCAATTCTTGGGCAGACGAGGTAAGATAGGGCTCAGGGCTTCAAAACGCCTAAAACCTTTTAAGTTGACTGACTGCCTTGTCTTTTTGCTTTTAATGGGACATCATGATAGAGGACTTGTCAAGTGTGGTAAGCATAAGCATATGCACAGCCTTGATATACCAATTTTAAAACCGAACGTAAATGTGCATGAGCGGGATGCACGGGACATCAGCGCAGCGATCATTCTTATCCTTGGCAATGCAACAACTCCGTATTTATGCAACCAAAAGGGCGTGCGGGGTAGAATCTTTCCGGTCTATGTCAAAGACTCAAAGGAAAAATAATAATGAGACAAAAGAAAAGGCATAAGCAAACGCAAAAACAAGTGTGATATAATTTAACGTAATCTAAATGCAGAGCAAAATTAATACCTCAGGTGAGAAAGGATGTGGATGTACATTTCTGCTAGGGATAAGTTATCCCGTGCATGTATCGTGATGTTCGAAGCCCTAGGAGAGAATTCAACCTCGAGGTTTTCTAGAACCACCTATCCGTATCTCACAAACCTCATGGTCGCATTCTGTCCCCAGGAACTCACTCGGTGGTATAATATGATTTGTCTTGATGGAAACCAGAGAAAAGCTTGGATTGAGATTAATCATGAATGGTTCAACCAGTCGGAATATCGCTGCAAGGGTTATTCCCTTATTCCTTGAAATGACGGTGTGGACCCCGAAAATGCTGTCGATCCGGACGATCCGCCGAGTCAAGCATCCAGTTACAGGCCAGTATGGCCTCTTGTACGTCCCCATTGAGACAATGCCGCAGGTAACATGCTTTGGGGTTTTTGTCGATCCACTCAGCTCGCTTGAAACTGCATTGGAATTGACCTGTACATCACGCATGGCTTGGACGAACTGCATTGCCGTGATATTCAGGATCGGCCGTGTTTGCCGCCGCTTGGCCTCAGCTGAAAGTCATCTCACTACGTAAGTTAGTATTACCAGTATTACTCATAAGATCAGGGGATGGTGGGTCTCGGAGTTGAATAATGAGAATTGATTCGTTGCTGGCTACTATCGGTCCTCCTCGACGGATACGATAAAAGAATTTATGTTCTCCGCATGGCTTTTTTCTTTCCCTTCCTTCGTCAACTGTTTGCTTCCGGGTAGTTCTCCACGGCTTCTTGTAAAGTCGAGATTACACCATGCAGTTCACCGTCTCTCGAGGGTCTGTATGGGGCCACAAATGGCGGTCTTCGCCTTTCTTCATTGTCAGCGCCATGGCAATGGCGCTGTTCACTGGTACTGATTGCTTTGGGCTCCCCCGCGCGTTGACGGAATTCAGATGTTTCTAACTAATCAACTTCACCAGATGTCTTCCTGTATACCTTCATTGTCCCGATCCTTCCCTACATCCTGGAAAACCGTCTCGGTCTCGATGTGTCCCTCACCCAGCGCATGAGTTTTGCATTGCTTGCGTTAAGTGCGGTCGCATCGCTCGTCTGCAGCCCATTCATTGGCCACTATGCCGATAAGATGTCTTCGAAGAAGATCCTGCTGCTCGGTTCATTGGCCGCTGCACTGTTTTCTACAATTATCTTGGCTATGGCGACTTCAAGTATGTGCGATTCCTGTGCTGCAAAGAAAAAAAAGCACTGGTTCCGTCGAGTTGCAAAGTAATTTCTGACGGTTGCCATAATAGCTTTCACCTTATTCTTCGGTCGTTTTATCCAAGCAATTGCGAGTGCCTTCATCTGGACCGTGGGATACGCAACGATCGCGGACAATGTTAAGCAGGAACATCTTGGGAAGACTTACGGAGTGATCTCCCTCGTCGTGGCTGCGGGTACATCCGGAGGACCCATGGCTGCTGGCATACTGTTCGAGATGGGTGGATACTGGTTGGCATGGTCGAGCGCTTTTGCCATAATTGTGGTGGATATTGTGCTCCGTGTCTTGATGATTGAGCGACCGAAAACGCAACCAGGTGAGACTCTGCATGCGATTCGAAATACATATCCAGCTTCTAACCTAAATAACCCACAGGTACGCCGCGCGGCGACGATCAGGATCCCGAGAATGATCCCCTCCTGCCGACCAATATCACCATTGTGGAGGAAAAGAAGGGGTGGCACTTTTATACATATCTCTTCCGACACCGCCAATTCGTTTGCGGCGCGATGAGTTATTTTGTCTTCGCTATTTTAATCTCCAGCTTTGATACCACTATTCCTCTTCATGTTCGGGACGCATTCGACTGGGGGAGTATGATGTCAGGGTTACTGTTCGCCGCTCTTCAAGGTCCCGGAATCATTATGAGTCCGCTCTGTGGTTGGTTGAAGGATCGCTATGGCACACGGTATCCCACCGCAGCAGGTTTCGCCATCCTGATGCCCATAATGTGGGTGCTGGGTATGCCCGGTGACGATCGGTTCCCCGGTGTGAACGGTGGCAACACCGGACAAATCGTCTATGCCGTCTGCGTAACTGCAGTGGGAACTTTCTCGTGTTTACTCAATGGTGCAGGAACTATTGAAGCTACAGGTATGCTATGTCGAAATTCATTGGACCGGTTTCGCATTCGCTAACTCCCGTCCTCCCTTGCGTTAGTGACGGTCGACGAAATTGAAGCCCGACATCCCGGCATCTTTGGCCCTAATGGCGGATACTCGCGGGCGCTGTCTGTGTCAAGCATGAGCTGGACTGCGGGAGCATTCATTGGCCCTATCTTGTCCGGGTACCTCACCGAACACGTTGGGTATTATGAAATGAATTGCGTTATTGGTTCGTGGTTTCTTTTGTCCCTCTTTTTTTTTTTTTTTTTT